TGTTTTACCTGGGACAGACAATTCTCAAAGTGCAGGATTCAGGATCTATTTATTTTTGTATCTCAGCGCCAGGCACACAGCCTGGCCTACCATAAGTGCTGAAAAACTGCTGAATTGATCGTTGAATTGAATGGAGCGATAATTCTAGGAAGTAGGTAGGAGGAAGTAGGACAAGTAGCATCATTCTCCATCTTCCGGTGAGGAAACCGTGGCTCTCACAGGCCCTAATCAAATCACATAGTCAGCTAGGGATGCAGTTGGTTGGCAAACCCATTTGTCCATTTCCTCATTCAACCTCAATTCATTCAACAATTCATCAATTTCTACTGTGTACCAATCGCTGGCAGCAGCGAGCAGAAGTAGCTGGCAGTCCTTGCACTCCCAGCCTTATGTGTTGTGCAGCCTCGCTTAGAGAGCAAGAACTCACGTGTGGGTTGTCCCTTGAAGTCAGCGATTATCAGCCACATGACCTTGGACAAATTACTTAACTTTTCTGTGCCTCCATGTCCTCATCTTTGAAGTGGGGAAGCCTACTACAAAAGCGTTGCGTAGTAGCGTGGCACAAAAGGTTTAAAACCATTCCCAGTGTATTGTATGTATTCAATAAACATTAGCTCTTGTTTCTTGTGACTATGGGTCTGTGACTCTGTGTTAAACACTGTCTTGGGTCCTGGGCTGCAAAGATGAGGAGAACTCTGATTTTTCTGCTGCTTGAAATGCCCACAGTCTAGAGGGGTAGAAAGAGACTCAGTAGATCATGATCAGGCAGTGTGGTAAGTGCTGCCTTAGAGATGCAGGGAGGAGGGGTAGGGGTGAGGGTTGAGAGTAGGACTTCCAGGTTGCTGAGACTTCAAGCATTAGGAATTGGTCCTTAGGGGGACCCATACAGAAGCTACCATGGTAGTTGAGATGAGAAACTGATGAGGCCTGACCAAGGTCACAGCAGAGGAGGCAGGGCTAGGAGAGAGATTTGGCAGATGGGATTGATTGGAGCATGAGGTTGACTTGATGAGGGACAAGAAGACACCAAATCCAGTGCTTCTCAGGGGACCCCATGCTGCTTTGAGTACAGGTTTCTCTTTGCAAGTTTCTAATTTACTTCGGGGTAGAAGAGACACCCAGGAGAAGTCCCAGGTAAACCAAGGCCTTGTCCACCACATGTGTCAGGGCCCGTGTGCTGGGGTTTTCCTGGACTGTGGAGCCTCTTCAAGGAAGACTGATTCTCCGGATTAATTTTTTCATTTTGACAATTATTCCCCAAGTCAAAAAAAAGCATACTAATATATTAAGAAAAAATTAACAATCTTATTTAAAATATTTCATTTTGGCTGGGCCCGGTGGCTCGACCTATAATCCCAGCACTTTGGGGGGCCATGTAGATTGCCTGACCCCACAGGTTCAAGACCAGCCCGGGCAACTTGGCAAGACCTCGTCTCTATAATAAATTTTTAAAAATTAGCCAGGCGTGGTGGTGCGCGTCTGTAGTTCCGCCTACTTGGAAGGCTGAGGCGAAAGGATTGCCGGAGCCTAGCATTCAATGCTGGGGTGGCCGTGAGTGTGCCACTGCACTCCAGCCTGGGCAATGTAGTGAGACTCCAACTCAAAATTAATTAATTAATTAATTAATAATAAAATAAGGCCGTACTCGGTGGTTCAGCCTGTTATCCCAGCACTCTGGGAGGCCAAGCCGAGTGGATTGCCCTGAGCCCACAGGTTCGAGACCAGCCCAGTCAACTTGGTGAGACGTCGTCTCTACAATAAAATAAAAAATAGCCGGGTGTGGTAGTGTGCATCTGTAGTTCTGGCTACTTGGAAGGCTGAGGCCAAAGGATCACTGGATCCCAGAAGGTCGATGTTGGGGTGGCCATGAGTGTGCGCGCCACTGCACCCCAGCCTGGCAAAGGAGTGAGACTCCAACTCAAATAATAATAATAAAATATTTCATCTTGTACCTGCTTCCTTATTTACTTTGAGATGCTGGGGAATATTATAACAGGGCAGGGGCTTTCACAGGGCATACAGTGCAGTGGTTTTTGCCTTTTTTTTTTGTTTTGAGTCAGAGTCTCACTGTTACCCAAGCTGGAGTGCAGTGCCATGCTCACGGCCACCACAGCCTTGACCTGCTGGGCTCAGGCGATCCTTCTGCCTCAGCCTTCCAAGTGGCTGGAACCATAGGTGCGTACCACCACACCTGGCTACTTTTTTGATTTATTATAGAGATGAGGTCTTGCCATGTTGCCTAGGCTGGTGTCAAACAATCCTCTCCCCTCTGCCTCCCAAAGTGCTGGGATTACAGTGCCCAACCTGTCTTTTTACATTTTGGTAAAAAGCATATAACAAAATTTACCACTATAACCATTTTTATTTTTTATTTTTTTTATTTATTTTTTGTTTTGTTTTATTTTTTTTGAGTTGGAGTCTCACTCTGTCGCCCAGACTGGAGTGCAGTGGCCGC